TCTTAACACAAATAAAACCTTAGAGAAACATGAAAATTAATTTACACAAAGCCGACTATAGTATATATAATTGCAAATCACCGTTAGTAGTGAAAACTACGGAAGCCCGTTGGTGCCACGTACGAAAAATATTTATCTGGTGGTCGCCACATATTATTTGGCGGTCGTCACTTGTATATCTGGCGGCCGCCAGATAATTATGTGGCGGTCGCCACTTATTATTTGGCGGCCACCACTTATATATCTGGCGGCCGCCACTTAATTTATGGCGGCCGCCACATAATTTTTATGGCGGCCGCGACATAATATTTGGCGGCCGCCAGTTAACACTTATATATCTGGCGGCTTCCACTTAATATATGGCGGCCGCCACAAAATTTTTATGGCGGTCGCCACATAATTTATCTGACAGCCGCTATATAACATCTGGCGGCCGCCACTTATTATTTGGCGGTCGCCACTTCATTTATCTGGCGGCCGCCAAATATTTATCCTGCGGCCGCCACTTATATATCTGGCGGCCGCGACATAATATTTGGCGGCCGCCACATAATTTATATGGCGGCCGCCAGATCAATCGGCAATCCTCGGCTGACTCCGCTCCGCTCCATTCAAACCTCGGATGTGATTGGTGGAGGAATACGCAACAGATCCTTACATTTCTCCGCCGGAAACTGCCTTATCACTTATTTCATATTTCGCTCTGCATAACGTTCTTCGAAAATGTTTCTTAATTTATGCAATTCTTTATCGTAAACAGGTTTTGATTACATCCTCATGTTAACAGGCTTTGAAAGCAAGAAAAAACTGTTGAGTGTGCCACAAAATAACTCCGATTTCAAATGTATGACATTTGAAAGAAATTCAAATAAGATCACATGACTGAATCAGCAAGATGGTAGATCACCGTTGACGTCCGAGGTTATGTGCGAGGTACGAGTCATCCGAGGAACTCCGAGTGCCGCCAGATAACACTTGGCTTCCTGATGCGCGCGCATCTTTTAATGTGTGGTTTAAGAGGTGGATACAGTGTAAAAATTGTTATAGCATTATCAATCAACCAAACTTGTAAGAGATTTATTATGAACCAACACTCCAATCCACACTTCTAATAGATATATGACCGGTCACTGTAGCCTAGTGGTAGAGCGTTCTCTTCGTGATCGGGAGGTCCGGGTTCGATTCTCGATCGCGGCACCGCGTCATACCTAAGACGTAACCATAGGTGGTGACTGTTCCTTCGCCAAGCGCTCGGCACTAGAAGTGAAAGTCACGGGTCTTTCGGATATGACCTTAAAAACGTAGGTCCCGTGTCACGGTAGGCGTTGGCACGATAAAGAACCCTCACTGCTCAATGGCCCTGAGTGCCGAGTATAGGTCTAAATTTGAAGCCCTTCACCGCCATCGGTGACGTCTCCATATCATGCATATGAGTGAAAAATTCTCAAGAGGGACGTTAAACAATATACAATCAATCAATCATCTAATAGATATGTTTTTGCATAGAGCAGATTAATATTTGATTTGAATTATGCAAGTATTTGTAGAATGTTTCGATTATTAAGAAGCCTCATCAGGGGTCACGGACATAAATCATGGTGTTTGCTGTACATAAACTATGAGTGGTTGAGAATTAAATAAAGTTTTGCATTTTGGATATCCAAGAATGGTGCTCCAATATTTCAGAATTCGTTTTTATCATTTACTTTTTTATCAATAAGCAGAGGTTGTGTCAACATTCATCTTCTTAACTCAATAACAATCACCTTTTGCAAAATAATTTATGTGGCGGCCGCCAGTTATATAAGTGGCGACCGCCAAATAATAAATGGCAGCCGCCAAATAATAAGTAGTGGCCGCCAGATATATATGTGGCGGCTGTCAAATAATAAGTGGCGGCCGCCAGATAAAATATTTTTCGTACGTGGCGCCAACGGGCTTCCGTAGAAAACGTCATAAGTAAGATGGACTTGGTTAGGTTCGGTGAGTGCAAGTAATCTGGCATCTAGGTTTTTGCATGAATCATAACTGGGGGAAAGAGGGAGGAGGGGTTAATTCAGACTTAAACATAAGCAGATTGTATTGGGTTTATCATGTTTATGGATTTGATTGAATCCAAAACTAATAGATTTTTGACAAATTATGTCATAATGCATGGATATTGTCATATATTGTAAAGCGTATTGTAAAGCGCTTTGAGTAGCATGTTTGCTAGAAAAGCGCTATATAAAAACAATCATTATAATAATTATTATTATAATATAGAAAAATTGGAACTCTGTTAGCTGAAACTTCAATTAAAAATGATAAATTAATTTTAGATGTTTAGTTTTAGAAAATAAATTTAAAACTATAATGTTCATCTGTGAAGTATACACAGATTTGACTGTATTTCTAAAAACAGAATATCTGTTTTATTTTTTTAGATTACCTTCTGACAGAATGAGTCAGAGTACCAGTAAAGGTACAGGTCAACACTATGTAGAATGTGCCACAAGCTACTGTTACATTTATTCCAGCCACTACTGCAACACCGGCCACCAGCGGATGTTTGAGCAATGCCGAGACGATCATCTCAAGGAAAGAGAGCACTCAAAACATGAAGTTGTACTGTACCAGGATGGGATAAGAGAATTGCCCTCTGAAAAATGCAGCATCCATCCCGTTCGGATCTTAGAGCTCTTTTGTAGTGAGTGCCAAGCAGACCTGGGGTCAATTACTTTGAAATGTAATGAATTACATTACAATTACTTTGGAATTTTTATCATTACCATTACAATTACCATTACTCTCATTTAGAAAAGTAATTAATTAAATTACAATTACTTTGTTAAAGTAATAAATTACATTACACATTACATTTTATAAGAGAAAAACACAAATCGTTCACCACACAATTTATACCTATAAATTAACTTTCACACTTTTTGCTCAATAATATGCTTTCTCTCAGATTTATAAGTCAGAGTGGTATTTGGATTCTAGATTCATGTATCGTGTTCATGTAGTTTACCAATCAACAGTTGACAAAGAAAGTGGATCAGAACACTTTCAATGTTGTAGTTTTGTTCAATATCTGATGTTAGTTTCTCTGTTGATTTTGTTTTTTGAATAAATGATTTATTGAACATTCCCTATTAGATGTTTTATGTAAACTAATATTTAACAGATAATGCTATAAATGTATAACGAGTATTAAAAACTTAATGAATTAATTAGCACTTCTAATTAGCTTAACAGGTATAATCAATGAAGCCATAAATTAAACTCAACCAAAGGTGATAATTACAAGTACTTGGATGTAGGGTTCAAATTTTGAGGCCTTAAGCTACCAAAAAATGAATGATGGTCAATATATCAGTCTATATTTATATTTGGCCTTAGTTTCTCTTTGTGTCTACAATAAATCATACTGATCTTGTATCATGTTTACCAGGTCCATTTAAACAGATTGAAAAGGGAAAAAGTAGATAAATATAATTTGTACCTTAATTTAACTGTAAGTCTCACTATGCCTGTATTAATATAACTTTTTTTGTATCTTTCTTTAAAACCTGATGATTTCTTTTAATATTTTTCTTTGATTCTCTTCAATTGATTTTACAATTGTCTTAATTGTCAAGCAGATTTCTACTAAAGGAATTATTTAGTTTGTCTATAAATTACCATTTGATGATATAAGAAATATTGTAGGATATAGGGTTTTAATTTTAAGACTCTAACATTATTAATAAAAAAAATAACTTTTCAGTGATATTTATTTGTTTCAGATTCAAAAATAAAAGAAACTAATATATAAAATGTAATTGAAATGTAATTGAAAAGTTATTGGTCATTACAGACATTTTTTTAAAGTAATGCATTACAATTACTTGTAATTGAAATATGGATCCATTACACATTACACTCCATTACTTTGAAAAAATGTAATGATTACAATGCATTACCATTACACATTACCATTACCCCAGGTCTGGTGCCAAGCTCCTATCTGTTCGAAATGCTTTCGTAATCATATTGGTCACCAAGTAAGGGACCTTGAGCTTGTATACAAGTCTACAAAAAAGCCAGAAAGAGTTGATCAAGATTCGGGACAATGTCTTCCCTCGATCTGTGGAAAATCTCAAGTCTCAGAGAGAAAGAGTGGAAGACATCAAAAAGAAAATAGCCCAGACAAGATTATCCATGAAGAAAAGTGCTGATGAGATTAAGGCAACTTTGGATAGATACTGGCTAATAATAATGCCAAACTTGATATAATGGAGAAGGTGGTGTGAGATGAATTAAGTGGTAGACCAAGGAAAGAAATCAGAAGAGTACATCTCCTATTTACAGAAACTTATCAAGGACTATGACAGAGAGATGCGATCAAGTAAACCGTCAGAAGTTATCAAATTCTGTAAAGAGATGGCCAATGTTCCAATTTTAAAGATTCCAGAAGCACATCAACCTGTTTCCATTGAGTTTATTAAAGGTAAAATCAGAAAGGAGGAGATAGAGAAGCAATTTGGAGAAATCAGTCAGAAAAAACAAAAGATCCCCAAAAGCGAAGAAAAAGAAAGTGTACAAACTACTCCACCACCAGTATCCACAACAGTAAGTCAACCAACAGGAAGAGTTTCCAATAATGTTAGAAAGGAGACGGAGATAAATATCCGCTCTCATTTGAGTTCTCTCTGTTACTTATCTCCCTTGCCATTTCAAAAATTCTGGGCAAGTGATGACAAAGGAAACCTAATCCAGGCTGACATGAAGGGAAATATACTCCAGAAAATATTCACCAATTCAAATAACAACGGTTATCATACAACAACTTCCGAAGGGGAATTACTTTACACAGATACTTTTCATAGGGCCATTTACAGAGTCAGCAACGCAAAGAAAACCACGACTTTTATAACCACAGCCGACTGGGGACCCTACTCCATCTACTCCTCTCGTCTTAATGGAGACATTCTGGTGGGGGTGATAAAAGGGAACACGTCATGTAAACTAACCAGGTACAGCAAAGAAGGAGAAAAACTACAGGACCTTCAGTCTTATCAGAGAAAAAACAAGAAACCAAATCCACCTCAGGCACTAGGGGTTGTCGATGTTTCCTACATAAAGTTCATCACAGAAAACATAAATGGTGATATCTGTATAGTGAACAACAGGAAGGTAGAGGGGATGACCAGCTCTGGGAAGCATCGGTTCTCTTACTCTGGTCTACAGCAGTATAGCTTTTCACCTACAGGAATCTGTACGGATATTCTGGGACACATTCTGGTGTGTAGTTCCTCTAGTTTCTCCAATGTTCATCTGTTAAATGCTGATGGGCAGTTTATTGCTGTCCTATTTGATACAGACCAGTGTCCAAGGAATCCTTCTGCTATCTGTGCTGACGATCAACAAGACCTCTGGATTGGGTCTCAGAATAATCTGTACAACTGTACTGTTCATGTCTACAGATATCTTCAGCTATAGGTCAAGGACAAACATACATATGACATTTCAAGAAGTAGAAAAGTTCAAAACTATGGGTTTTGTGATGAAAAAAGGATATATTTTTCAGTTGTTATAAATCTAGCACAGATATGAATTGGGCTGTGCAGCCTGCGTCATGAAGTATTTAGAAGTGTTGACGGTCATATAATCGAGTATTTTTTGAATTTTTTAAAATTAAATAAATATACATAAATATTATTGCAAGATATTGGCAGTGTAGCTTAATAAAGAAAATGTAGCATGTGTTGGCCATAAACACGACTGTGATAAAAATTCAAAATCATAATTTTTCATGTTATTCTGTAAGCTTGAAAATAGCATTTTATCAGACTGGGCCTTGAATATAGAAAGTATTTACATCAATTACATTCAAGAAATGGGTTGTTTTGATTTAATTTTTATATATATACTTAATAAGGGTTTATATTTAATATAAAATTATTATTGTACACAACTGCCATTGCTGACTATAAAAAATTATAGCATTTGTCTACTAACTTTTCAGACAACCTTTGTACTGAATTTTTTTTTCCAATTAATATTTTGAATGCAGGTGTTAAAATTAGATGGAAAGATTCTAAAATATTAAAGCAACATAAGAACATATAATATATGTACAAGAGTATTTATTTGATCCTTGCATTCCAATGCATCAGAAATAACGTAAAAATATTTCTATGCTGCACAGAAAATAAATAATAAATGTAAAACATTTAACAATGATAATTATACAATTCAAATGATACACTTATTTAGCTGTCTCACAAAAATACTTTAAGATAGTACATGTATATAAAAAAGTGTTGTAAGGGCAATTTAAATTGTCTTCATCGTTACAAATTGCTCCCTAAAACTTGTCTCTGTATCAAGTTTACAGTGGGTCACTCATGAACTCTTCTTGGCATGCTTTAATCCACAACCCTGATAATCACCGATAAATCTGTACAATATTTCTTTGTCCACGATAATTGTAATTTGTGAGGACAGCTTTACTAGAGATCTAGGTACATTATGTATATCACACATGGGTGTCCGTAAATGCACTCTGTGTCTTGGAATAGCTGTAACTGGGTCCCTGGGACATCATGTCATCAAACTATTAAAAAGATAGAGCATCGATGGATCAGAAAAGCATGGAGGGTCTAAACTGAAACAATTAAGCAATGTATGGTCTACACTACAGAAATGAAAATATTCAGCATGTAATAGCTAGGACAACACCCTCTTTTCCCTACTTCTTTTGTATTTCCATTTAGAAGAGCATACTGTCTTTCATTAGAAATGCTATATTTTTGGGAGTACTCTGCAAGTTGAAATGCTAAAGCTGAAGAAGTGTTAAATATTTAAAGTATTCTAAAGATTATGAAGAATGTATCCTGAATGGGTATTGCACAGACCACAATAGGTTATTTTTCAGCATGATGGTCTAAAATATATGTACTTTATTTATGATATATGTATCTTTTAAAATGAATGCATTTTCCAACAACAAATGAAGAAACTTACATAATTACAAATTCTTAAAAGCAATTTTGACAAATATTTATTCAATTTACAACACTTTTCATCCTGATCCCATTAAAGCAAAATTGAATGAATTCTTTTTACCATCAAGGGAATCTATTAATTATTGATAAATTCAGTAAGAAGAGAAAACAATCATACCAATCCACTGTCCAGTGTTCTCTTCCAGAAGAAGTTGTCATCATTAATAAAATCATCACCATCATCATCATCTTCATCATAGTTAGGGCTGGCTGAAGAGGAGGTGAAGTCAAACTCGTAGGAGTGGGCCGGGTTATTATGGCCCCGCCTACCATACAACTGACGGGACATCTCCTGTCATCACAAAATTAGTATAAAAATACCTTCCAAACAGAGTAAATTATGTAACAGTTATTTTACAGAAAGGTATGAGAGTGCTCAGTTAAAATAACCATAGACATCATTGTTGATGCATGATTACAAAATAAACACTTAATTTCAAACTGATATTTAAAATTTGAATTGACGTAAATTCAAAACTATAATACTCTCTCTTCTGTTATTGATTGTATTAAGAGGACATGCTTACTTGATAATTTCAAGGATGTAATGGAATTTTTTTTTGTATTTTTATTGTTCTCTCCTTTATATTGTCACATAAAGTAAAACAAATTTGCAGTGAACACGCTTATAGTGAATTTATGCTTATACAGTTAGGAATTGTCACTCTATGTACCGATAAACCCAGTAGTATAAACTTATTTGCTATAACAAATTATGTTTCAAACAAACCAAAATCCTTCATCTCTGGCACTTCTTTATAGACACATTCATAACTGTATTCTGTAAACCCCCAGTAATGATAAAATCCATTTCAATACATAAACATAATCATAAACTTACCGTCCCAAATACACTCCCACTGGACGTATCTTCGTCAGAGTACCCCTCCCTGGGTTTTCCTCTTCTCTTTCTGAGGGGGGACCTTTCGCGTATGTAGGGTCGGGAGGACAGGACACACCTCATACACAGGACAACTGTGACCAGGAGGAGGATCAGGCCCATCACGATCATCAGCGCCATGAACCAAACCTCCTCATAAAACTCCTCAGACGTTGTCCCAGTTTGTGTGATCCTGGCTATGGTTTCTGTGAAAGAAACACTCTACAGTTATGCTGCGAGAACAATAGCAAATTTATTGTCCTCCTAAGACAGTGGCTATTTTCCGAGGTACATCTAGAGTCATCTTGAAGGATATATAATTAACTGAAGTAACTTAAAAATAAGTACGGAGATGTTAAGCTCATATATTGAAATAAGTTCAGAAAACATCAAACATAATACAGTGGAGCCTCATTTATCCAAACACTTTGGTTCCTTGTCAATTTGTCTGGATATGTGAAGCATCTGGATATCTGAATTACCAATTAAACAAGACAATGTAACATTAAAAAATTCTGTTCTGATGAAACGTCGTCCGTATACTGAAGCATTCGGATATCTGAATGTCAACTGTATACATATTTTTTTCTACGTTGTATTAATTGGCACTATGTACAAGGTAACAAATTTTCTACAGAAATTTTTCACACTGTAGTTATAAGTGCATTTTAGACATACATTATCAATTTAAGAAATTTTCTATATCACCTTTATCAGTTTAATCAAAACATTGATACAGCAATGCTCATCTCCTTCCTTGAAAGACAAAGAATATAACCATTAAATTCATAAGTTGTTCACAGTAATAATGCTTTACCTGGAGACTGGATCTCTATGGCAGGAGATGCTGCTTGTCCTACCTCAGTTACGACAGTGATGGAAAACTTTATGTCTGAAAAAGATTTTAATGATACAATGAAATGCAATTTATAATAAAAAAAACATTTTCTATGGAAAAGGTGCAAGAAAACTAACAAAGAATTTACAATCTCACCCTTTCTAGAGGTTTCTTCATCTAGAAAGCTACTGAATCCCACCCCATGGAATGCCACCAGGTCATTAACGACCAGAACAAATTCCCGCAGTTTGCCGTTCAGCTCAAAACTATCTGTCCAGTCAATATACAGCTGACTCCCATTCCTGGAGTTGTGGGGGTACCTTATGTACACTGGGTCTGAAAACATAAACAAGTTACTATTTTTTCTTTCAATTGGTTCCTTTATTTTAAATGTTTCTGTTTATCATACATGTATCAGTTTTGGTGAAATCTATTGCATGAAAAGCATGTTTGGAGAAAACACTGCATTAAATTCATGTTAATGGAAACCAAACTTATTTTCCGATGATTGGATCTCAAGTAACCATTATCACTTATCTAAATTAAGCACATGTAACTAAATCTATAATAATATAAAGCATATTCACTTGTTTGCAGAGTTTCAGCTCTAGTCCAGCTGGCATCTTCTACTCTCCCAGCACTGTTAAACGACAGAACCTGAAAATCATAAGCAGTGTATGGATGTAGCCCCGAGACTGTCCGCTCGAGAACCAGGCCCTCGTGTACACGCACTTCCTCACCCAGAACACAGGAAGTGGTAAATGGCTGCCAGGTCAAAGGACAACTAGACCTCTGCTTCAGTATAAATCTGTTGAGATCAAGAAGTGAGAGTTTAAACATGGGGAGGTGTAGAGTGTTGTATATTTTATTCAACAGGTTTTACATGCATGAAGCACATAAACATATCACATTAAAAAGACAATGAGAAAGATGACCATGTAGTCAGCACCTTCCACCCAAAATGAATGCATGAATCCAATGTATTTCAACATAAGATATGCATAGTATTCATTGAACTAATCTGAGTTATCCTTATACAGTATATACGCTTATGATGCAGTGCCAGGGACGGAAAATTTTGCGTCACTCTAAGTGTAATTCATTATATACATTCAATTTCCATTTCATTTCAAAGCCACAGTGAACGAAAAATACTTCACAATATGTATGTCAATTCATTTATACATGTGTTTTCACTTTAAGCATGTTTTACTGTATTGATCAAAAATCAAATATTCTATAGAGATAATTACTTGATGATTTCTCCATTGGGTTCCCTGGGGTAGTTCCAAGTCAGCTTGAGGGTGGTACTATTGGCAAAGCTGACCAGGGCAGGATCCTGTCCCACAGGTATAGCAGCTTCCGTCTGGACTAGGATGGCCTGGGTGTCAGTACATCCCCCCTGGGTACAGGCCCGCCCCTGGAGAGAGTACCAGGTGAATGGCAGGAGAGAGTTTGTTTGTCCCACGGTGTGCACAAGGGTGTTACCACTGCTTCTCTGAAATTTAAATAATCAACAGATTTGCTTACTGCCCAGTTTTGTTTCCAACCAATGGTTAAATTGCTGCATTTTTGAAATTTTGCTTACTGGTAACTCACAAAAATTATATTCAGTTTAAAGACAACATAGTTTTCAGATCAAGTTTTCCTCTCCATCTCTCCCCCTTCTTTCTCTCTCACAGAGATTTATGAGTTAAACCTAACTTAAAACAAACCTACCACTGTTCCATTCATGATAACACTGTACATAATGACAACTCCATTGGGGTTTGTAGGGGGACTCAGCTGAACTGTTATCGCCTTGGGTGTTTTACTCTAAAATTCAAATTCAAAAATCAATCCCACACAAAATCAGTCAACATGCATTTCTAAAAATAAATTTCACCAAAACCACTATATCGTAATTATGCAAAAATAAAGTTTTCGCGAATTAAAAGTGATTTACAGTACCTGAATGACGGGTGGGCTGAGTCCAGTGGGCGGGGCCTCCTTCGTGCTCACACTGGCCCACTCACTCTCTGTCCCACCTACACTGTTGAGAGACATCACCATGTACTGATAGGTTGTGAAAGGTACTGTATTGAAATCACTAGTTCTTGTTTTAGTGCCATTGTAAACGGACACTCTGTCAGTGTAAGACATGCCTGTAAAGGAAAACAATGTCCAAGGAATTGAAAGAAGGATGAAATCAATCAATTTTGAATGTTTGTTTGAAAAAAGTTGATTGTATAATGCATTTAAGTAAAATTGGCTTCATAAAGCAGTTAGGTTTGAACGCTTTAATAGTACCGGTAATAGCATCATACCTTTTTTACTATGCTAGGTCGATTTAAACATACCTATAATTTCTGTTACAGGTTTCCTTCTATACACCTTGTACTGTATGATAACTCCATTGGGTTTCAGAGGTGGGTCCCATGTCACCAAAACTCCTGCATGCCCCCCATTGTCATCTGCCAGGGCCAGTACAGAGGGGAAGGGTTGTTCCTCTGGGACTGCCTCCAGGGTCCTGGCCTTAGACCCCTCACTAAGCTCACACCCCCTGTTGGTGCACGCCTGCACCCTAAAGGTGTATTCGGTCCAGAAAAGGAGACCAGGCACTGTGTAACTGAGCACAATGGCTCCTCCAGTGTAGACAATTTGTCCATCCAACAGAAGGGTGTAGTTCTGAATTTGTCCATTTGGCTTTGCAGGCTGATTCCAGGAAGCCTGTATTGAAGTGGAAGACAAGGGCTTTAGTACAGGAGGACTTAGACCCGCTGGAGAAGAAGAGTACGTTGTGGCAATAGCAGCTGGACTCTCCACACTCCCCTTTCTATTTCTTGCTATTACAACATAGGAATAACTTGTTCCAGGACTCAGTCCGTAGTCTGTAAAGGTGGTCACCAGATTCCCTGAGATGGAGAGACTTTGTGTGTAGATTAATGCTCCATCTCTTCTTACATCGTAAGAGGTGATGATCCCATGTGGATTCAATGGAGCCTTCCACATCACTTCTATTGACTGAGAACTGAGGACATTCAGTGTGGGCTTCTGTAAACTAGTGGGAACATCATCCAGTGGCCTTCCACTCACTTCTCCACTTTCTGTACATCCACCTCGAGTGCAGACTGTAAGAGAGAATGAGTATAACTTGTATGGTGTGAGTCCTGATTGAGTGTGCTCAGTGTTGAGTCCACTGTAGACACTGCTCCCATCCATTGTTAGTTGATACTTTGTGACTTGACCACTTTCCTGACTTAAGGGTTCCCATGTAGCTTTAATGGCAGAAGAGCTTACACTCTCGAGATGAGGAGGTTCCACTTTTACAGGTGGACTCTCCACTGTTCTTATTATGGTTGGAGTGCTTGTGGTACATCCACCAGCAGTGCAAACAATTACTTTGTAACTATAAAAAGAATAGGGAAGCAGGTTGGTATCCACATACTCAAACTTATCACTTTTGTCAAAACTGAGTGGCACGCTATCATTTCTCTGTAGCTGGTAACTCTGGATCACTCCATTAGCCTCAGAGGGAGGAGTCCAAGTTATCATTAAGCTGTCAATCACATCAGGGATATGCTTTACAGTAGGTGAGGCCACTCCTTGGGGTAGAGCCTGTTCAGTAAAGACAGTCTGCCACGGACTTTGAACTGAACTGATGGCATTGGTTGATCTGACACTGTACTGATATTCGGTATAAGGACGCAGACCCACATCAGTGTACGTAAAGGAGGAGCTGAGGGTGTCATTGGTAGAATACACAACAACAGGATTGGAGAGTTCTCTCTTTGTCAGTCTTCTCTCCTCACGTCTCAGTACCTCATACATCAGAATGACACCATTAGGTTCCAGAGGTCTTGCCCAAGAGATCATGGCCGATGTGGCATTTACTTCCAATGGTTTGGGTGTTGGCTGATTTGTGGGGGCAGCTTCTGCAGTTAAGAAGTTCTGAAAGACACCTTTGGTACAACCTGTCTTTGTACAAGCCTCGAGCTGGACTGTGTACATGGTAAAAGGCTGAAGTCTCCTCATTTCAAACTCCCGATTGATACCTTGAAAGAGAGCCACTAATGAACCAAGTTCATATAGTCTATAGATAGAAATAACTCCATTTGGCTTGGCCGGTGGATCCCAACTCAAAATCAAAGCAGTACCAGAAGAAATTTTCTCGGCTTTGACAACAGGCATACCGACTGGAGAGGACTGATCTGTTTGTACAATAACTGTCTCTGAAGAAGCATTTCCAACTTTGTTCAGAACTTGTAAATGGACCTCATAGTTGGAATAAGGTTTCAGTCCACTAACCAAAGTCTTAAAGATATCAGGAGAAATAGACAGATGCTCCACTGTGTGATTCCCTGGGCTTATTTTTATCTCTTTGTATACCACTCTGTATTCCAAAATAACTCCATTAGGATATGTAGGAGGACTCCATTGAATCATGAAACCGTAAGCGCTGGTGGCACTGATGTCTGGTCGCTTCAGCCCTGTGGGTGGTGCCTCGAGGGTTCGAACCAAAGCCCAACCGCTGGAGGCATCCCCTTTCTTGTTCCCAGCCACCACTTTGTATTGGTAACGGGAGTATGGTTTGAGGTCGTTCCCCGCATGAGTGATCTGTAGAATCTCAGGTTCCACTCTGTTGATCAGGAATTCAATGAGAGAACCCAATTTCCGATAATAAATCAAATACTGGATTATATCTCCATTAGGAAAGAGTGGAGGAGCCCATTCTATGTCTACCATGTTTGGGCCCTTTGGTGTCAAAATCGGTGGCTGCATGTCAGAAGGCGGGGCCTCTTCAGTCTTAACCTTGGTCCCAGCCCCTATACCACATGCATTGGGTTCACCAGCCAAGCAAGCGACCAATCGGACATCATATTCAAAATGAGGCTTCAATCCAGTCACTATAGTAGAAAAATTCAGACCCACTCTCTTTTCAATCTCTGTTGGTTGTCCAGCATTGAGTATAACACCATACTGATCGATGGTTCCAGAGGACGTGACTATGGGGTCCCACTCTATAAAGATCCAGGAGCTGCTCTGTACAGTGACTGTCTTCAGAGCCGGAATGTTGTCCGGGATATTTGTCGGCATGGATACCGATTTAATAGCACTGCTAGTGTTGCCTTCACTCGTTCCCACTATCAGATAGTAACTGTACGTACTTCCAGGCACCAGACCAGAGTCCGTCGAGGATAAGCCTTTACCAAAATATACATTCTTGGCTCCCCTGAAGGAGATTCTCATCACTGAGTAAAACTTGAGGAGGCCATTAATGGACTGTGGAGGATCCCAGAAAATCAAAACTGAGGAAGTTGTCAGAGCAACGATCCGAGGTGGAAGAACACCTGTAAAAAGATCGAAAAAAACATTTATTACAAAAAAAAGTGCAAAGGGACATTGTTTACAGTAAAAGCAGAAAATTTTGGTGGGGATTAAATTGCGTTTATTTCGTTGTTATTAATTATCAACGAAGTTAAATCATTTTGATACTTTTTCTATATCGATACGTATCACGATAATGAGCACGAAGATATGTATCACGATATGTTTAATTGCTTGTAAAATCTTTTTTTGCATTGAAATAAACAAATTATTTCTTTGCAAATGAGAATAATTTTTTTCAAAATAGTTGTTAAACAAAAATATTTTACTTAAGTGGTGTTAATTATTATTTATTTCATATCTATATTTATATTTAACTTATTTATTTTATTTATTAAACCCCAAATGTTAAATAAACAAAGAAAAACAGAAGTAAGATTTTTTTGGGGCGATATCTCGAAATTTATTCAAAATGTATCGATATGTGTATTGTCCTCACATATATCACGATATATCGATATCTCGATATATCGTCCCAGCCCTATTAAATGCCACTAGAAATTTCATTTTAGTATATATTGAATAGTGTTTAATTTCAAAACAACGAAAAATTTAATGCCACAAAGCATCTTTATATTACAAATCAATAAAATTTGATCCCTTTGAAAATTTGTTTTTATAGTAAAAATATCACATAAATCATTTTGATATTGTTGTTACGTACCTTCTGGTAATGCATGAAGGGTTTGAAAAGAGACCTCCTTACTGCTAGTACAACCCACTCTTGTGCAGACTTCAACATGAACACTGTAGTTGGTATAGGGCTTCATGTCTGTAATATAAGCCAACCTCAGCAAAGTCAATTTACAGAATTCAATTTCCACCTGTATTTGAAGGGGAATCCCTAAGAACCCCCCAAGAAAACAGCATCTAGTAGTTTTAAAATCATTCAGATTTTGCATCTATGGTCTTTCAGTTTTGATGACTGTTTTCACAGCATAACTTTTGTCATAATCCATAAAATGGCCAAGTATACTTCTTACACTAGAGTCAATTATAAAATATATGTGGATTTCTATCTAAGCTCTAATCATCATTTAAGATATTGAAAAAAACTTTTCTCTCATGTCCACATTCCCCAATCTTATAGAATTTTACTTTTTGGCAGTATATGTTACTACATGTATCATTTTTAAAGTAAATTAAAGGTACATGTACTTTACTTTGTCATTCATGTATGCCTCTTTGTCCACAAAATATATGAAATCATTCAAATTTTCTGTTTTTCATTTGGGAAACAAAGGAGGGGATGTGGCTTTGAAGAAGTAGTATGTTTCAGGTAGTACTTCAGTATAGATGGAACAAGTAAAAGTCGGGAGACTTGATGTATGCAGTTTTTCAACAGCGTTCAGCTATACCCACACAAATTTGACAAAAACAAGGTACACCTGTACACACTTTTCAGTTTGATTGACAGCTGCATGGTTCTAACCGCCTGCCCACCTGTACTCACCTCTTAGTATGATTGACCGCTGCATGGACCTAATGACCCTTTATCTGTACTCACCTCTATCTGTGATTGACAGCTGCACGGTTCTAATGGCCCGCCCATCTGTACTCACCTCTAAGTGTGATTGACAGCTGTTCTAATGACCCGCCCATCTGTACTCACCTCTTAGTGTGATTGACAGCTGCATGGTTCTAATGGCCCGCCCATCTGACACATGGAGGATGTAGTTGGTGATAATGCCATTAGGTTTGGATGGAGGTTTCCAAGATACCTCCACACTCTCGGACTGGATCTGGAGGAGAACGGGGGGATCCATTCTCTCAGGGACCCCCTCAGCAGTCGCTATCATCACCTGAATAGATTAAAAAGGTCAATTAAAAAGAATAAAAGGTGTCCACCAAAAGTTAGAAAATAGTCTAAGATAAATGAAATTGACAATCTAAATATTTCATTGGATGATTGATGTAATGTTCACCTAATGGAATAATTGAAATTCACAACACAAAATGTACATGTATGTGCTCAAAGATATGAAAGAGTAATAGATATACCTATATTACATTTGGGGTATCAAAACATAATCAGGATATTTTACCCAAATCATGCTGTTTTTCATATTGTAATTGGGCTATATATCATGCTTTTTGAAATATAATGGAATATCAAATCCATTCAATTTCATATTGAACTTCAAAAGAAAAAATCCACACTTACTCCTTGACTATCTGTGCAGCCTGCGACATTACAAACTGTAAGCTTGTAGACATAAGACTGATATGGTAGAATTGCTTTGTCATCAGTAAACTCAAAATCCAGACCCCTGTAGAGTTCCAGGCCATCACGATATAGGATGAAATGGGTTATCTCCCCTATATAGGAACATACATTACATTCATTAATATCAATGCAATAATTTTACAAGTACTACCTAGATTTTTTGTGTGTATTTGTGAATAAAATAAAAATACTTTTTTTCCAATTTTCATTTCAATACTTAAAACATAATGAAAAATTGTACTCATTCTCAAAATATTTTCACATCCCAAAACGAAATGTTCATATTCTAAAAATAATATGTTCTTATGAACCGTTTGGTTTTTTAGGCATGTCCCAGGTGAGATAAATGACGTAGATTTGGGAGGGGTCCACGGTAGCTGCCGGGGGGACCACTCCACTGGGGGCAGCTGCCAGGGTCCTGGTTTTTACCACACTGCTTGCTGTTCCTCCTGCACTGTTCACAACTTCCAGTATGTACTCATACACAGAGAATGGCTGTAAGTTGGTATCTGTTAAAAAATATATATAAGAAGAAATGGAGTAATATGGGGGGGGAGCTAAAAAAGACACAATTTTCAACTTGAAAGGGCCCTTATTGTGCTTATTTGATCTTATTACAGCCCAACGTCATTTCCCCAGGGTCACATGATTTGAGAAAATTCCAATCAAAAAGTTAAAAATCACCAAAATTTTATATTTTAAAAATGACCGTACCCCATTTTCCATATTTTTTATCATCTCTCAATGAAAACAAGAGGAGCATGGGCCACATCAATCACCTGAGTTACTTTGGTCATGCTTTTCTTTACCAGAGATTACCTCCTTTGTAATACCTATCCCCCATACCCCTGAAGGTCATGATTTTAATGATTTAAAATCCACACTACCCAAGGATGCTTCCACTTATGTTTCAGCTTTTCTGCCTCACTTGTTTTTAAGAAGAAGACTTTCTTAATGATCCCATCTTATTCTTGTCTTTTCTAGATTATCTACCCTTGTGAGGGGACTTGGCCCTTCATTTTGACAATTTAAAATTCCCTTCACCCAAAGATGCATTGTAATAAGTTTGGTTAAAATTGACCCAGTGGTTCTTGAGAAGTTGAAAATGTGAAGAGTGTACAGAAAGACAGACACACAGCTAGATGGATGGACGACGCTCAATTCTTGTGATCAGAAAAGCTCACTTGAGCTTTCAGCTCAGGAGAGCTAAAACGTTTGTAGCCCTCCTTTTGAAGAAAACTGAATTCTTCTTTACTTGAAGCTTTGCAAAGTTTGATATTGGCCTAGTGGCTTTGCAGAAGTTGAAAATGGTTAAGTTTACTGATGACATACAACTGGAGACAGATGCTAAATACTCTCTGATCAAAAGAGCTCACTTTATTTTTGCATAAAGCAAGCTTAGAAGTTTTTATTGTAGTAGTAATTTCCAGGTTTAAATTATGATTAACCTTAGACTAAGAGGCCATAAATAATTGAAGAATACAAATAACAGTTTAGAATATCAACCTATGAATGTGTCATTCAGTCCACTGAATACAGTCTCCTCACTCAGCACACAGTCACCAGAGGGCTCTGCTACTTGTGTAGAGGTCACATGACTGCCAGTCCATGAACCACAGATCAGGGAGTTCTTGTCAAAGTTGCAGCGGTCACAGAATGAGGTGTTAGAATCAGCCATATTGCAAGTTTTTCCCATTCCACAACCTGTAAATGATTATATTTTATCATAGAAATTCAGAAATAAGGAAATAAAAGGAGGAATTTCTAAGTATTCTGAACACAAGCTCAAATATACACATCAAACAGTACATATTGCAAGTTTTTATTTCAGGCTTATATTTCGTTAAAGAATTTCAAAATTTTTATTTAAGGCTTATATTTCGTTAAAGAAATTCAAAAAAGAAAAAAAGGAAACTTTCAGTATAATTAGAGTTTACATACACATATATACACATCAAAGAGTAATTTTGCAAGTTTTGCAACCTGTAAAGCTTATATTTTATCATAGAAAAATCACAAGAGAAACTTTTACTATTTAATCAAACAGTGAATAGCAAGTTTTAATTTAAGGCTTATACGCTTTATAAACCGCGAAGCGGTTTAAAGAAATATTAAGAGCCCCAAATTTTGTTATATCGGATAACATAAGTTGAAATTAGCTTCATTATAATTTAATTTCAGTGTAGACAAAATAATACGACAAGCTTCCCGCCAAATTAAGCATATTTTAAAAGTAACGCTTTTTGACGTAACTCATTGTGACGTAGGCAAGTTATGTTATACAAAATGTTATATGTTCCTCTGAATGATTCAGCCTATAAAATTGCTTGATACAAGTGAAATTAAATTATTTGAGATTTAAGCTCATGCAGATATAAAACATCAAAACTAAAACTTTACCATTTTGCATGCTGGAGAAATCAGCACAGACATGAGTGTAGGGATTGTAGCCTTGATAATTACAACAGCCGAGTCCTTTAGAGATCTTGTTTAATCCACAGCACACTTCATTGGCTGCAGTCTTCTCCAGGGCACTGCCATACACAAACGCCTGAAGACATGATGAAAACATCACATAAATTCTTTTCTCAACGTAATACGATTGAACTTTAGTGTATAGAACACTGACATCTCAAATACCATGGATATGCAAATTACAGTGATTTTTAAGACCTAACCCCTATTCTTTAAGCATTTTACCCTGATATCTCAAATTCTTGGATATCTAGGAATTTTTTTCTCAGTCCCACCGAGTTTAAGATGATAAGGTTTTACTGTATATCTCACTTACCAAAACTTAAAAAAATATTCCTTAAACCTTAAGTAGTTAAAATTTGATAGCTCTAGACTATCGAATGCTTATAATTTTTGTAACCTGTTGGTGCCCAGTGTCACTAGTGCAGCACAGACTCCTATTGGTCAAAACATAATCCTGTCCACAACACATCATCCCAGACTGCATCTGATAGGCACTTCCTGTCACATGGTCACCACAGCAGATCACATGACCATCGTAGACCTGTCCACCACAGCAGACTTGATCCAGAGCAGCATGAAGCTCACCTGAACATAATGAAATTTTAAGTTGATGGATTGACCTTCTCATACACCATACATATAAAATAATGTATATTACAATGGATGACACCCAAGAAGGGACATGAGTGTCTAAATCTTTTGCAGGTTGAAGGAAGGAATTATGCAATCATAATATTCAAAAGATGGAATAACATTTGTTATGTACTGTAAACCAACTATTATTTGCGTCATCTTTAATTCGTGATCCATCAGTTCTGAAATTAATCCGCGATGATTAATTTTCAAGAATAAAAACAATACAAAATAAATGGTTTGTGGCGATTAATATTCACGACTTAAAGTTGGTTGTGAAACTTGCAAATATTTCTAACACACAAATAAAACTTGGTTTACAGTATATCAATAAGACACAGACCATCACAGCACATCTGGGCACTGTTGTTAAGGTATGGAATGTCCCCACAACACAAGTTCCCCAGACCCACACTGACACGGTCTTCATTGTCGTCTTCACAGCAGGTATGGTCTGGTAACACTTCTACATACCTGTCAAATGTGGGGAAAAATTGTCATTTTCATCTTGTGTAGGAACTTTTTATCCACAAGTTTCACACTATCATAGATCAAATTTTGTAAAAAATTACTTTGAAATCACGTATTTTCATTGGCTGAAGTTTTCCTGGTTAGAGGAAAAACTCTTGGTTCATGGGGATTTGATTTCGTTGATGAATAATTGTTGAGTATTCATGTAACATTTTACATTTTGTGGTGGACATGAATTCATGGGTCTCTTCATACCTCGAAAACAATGAAAATTAACCCAATGAAAATTTGTGATTTCACAGTACATAGATAAAATGTTTGTAAATCTGTTATGAGTGTTTGAAGTACACCGAGTTTTACTATCTTAAATGTTAAATAATCAGTCAGATTTTTGTAAAACAGAAAATCTTTACTTCAATTTCTAATTTTCTATGAAATAAGCACAGTTAATTAGTAAATTCAGAATGTGAAGTTGTTTCTATCAAAATTTATTTGATCTGATCTTTACCTAGAGCCACAACAAGTATAGTTGTTCACAGGTGTGTGGAACTTATCCCCACAACAAACAGCATCCACAGAAGGTTTGTACAAGTAGGACTTCCCACAGCATTCAAAGTCTGGCTTACTGGTGTGTATTACTCCATCACAGCAAACCTACACAGAGGAAGTGTAAGGAGTTACTGTATACAGTGAAATTTTTGCCCCCGTTTTATTTTCACCCCTTTTGCCGTCATCTTGATTGGGCCAATTTTAAACAGGGCAAATTCAAATTACACAGCATAATTTCTTAAATAGAACTATGCCTGGGGGAATTTAAAACAAGCCAAAATTGTTCGCAAGTCCAAAATGGTGAAAATAACATGGGGCGAAAATAACCCTGTATACAGTATATAGTGTAGAGTTATAGGATGTATAGAGTTATATAGAGTGATGAGTAAGAGTATGTATAGAGTTTAAGTGTAAAGAGTTATAGCATGTAGTCATTAGTATTATTATACACTCATCTTTTTAGATGCCAAATAGAAACAGACTTATGAAATAGAATTTGACACTTCAAATGGAGAATACATTTCTGCAGGAAAAATATATCCTTGAATAAATAATGAAAATTAAGCTAGCACATACATTTACATTAACATCACATATACTGTAGATCACTTAATTTTCGCGAAACCTTATTTTCGCGAGATAGTCATTGACTCTTGATTAGCAGAATAAAAAGTTGCATCCATTTGGTATTACCTACATCATAACATGTATAAAAATAAATTATTTAATTAAGAATTTCAACTATTAGCACTCTATTCAAGGACATTATATTGTTCAGATTTTGTACTGTAGATCACTAAATTTTCGCGACACCTTATCTTCGCGAGATAGTCATTGTCCCTTGATTAGCGAGACAAAATTTTCACAAATTGTAGTTATTGCTCTATATAATATTATGAAATACTATTATAAGGAAATGCGAGCACACCTAAGTTCTCGCGAATAAAAAGTGATTTACAGTACAATGGTTGGGAGATAAAAGGAAATGTGACTTTGACTTACTTTAGGTCCACTGAAGCAGACAGACCCACAGATTTTCTGGTGAATGCTACACTCCAGGTACGTACACTTTGTGTGCTCTGGATAAACTGTGCTGGGGGGACTGTTATCCAATCAAAAGGTCAAACATTAAGTGATTCATTCTAATTAAAATTGACTTTCAATATAACTGACTCAGACGTTCTTAAGTGGAAGTAAAAAAAAGTTTATCCATATGGGCAAAGGTTGCACAGCATGAACTATTCAAAAAACAAGATTGTATCACATAAAGGTCACATGAATTACTCAGGCAGTCAAACACAAGTATGCATTATCATCAACTACAAGTCTATGAGGACTAAATTAAACAATTTTGATGTACATTTCTCTTATTATCAAAACCCTTACATTAATGAACAAGGTACAATTGTTCTCCTGTTCAGGTCATATCTGAGGACGATCCCATTAGGCTTGGTGGGTTCAATCCATGTGATGTTGACCTCTGTGGGGGAGAGAGGAACCACTTTTGGTGGCACCACACCTTGTGGTAAGGATTCCCTGGTGGTGACTCTGATCTCAGGACTCTGTGTACAAGCAAAGGTGGTGCAAACTTCCATCTGTAAATGTATTCAACACAAAATAAGAGTATTTTCCTAAGGATTTTTTTTTAGAAATTTACACTGAACCAAGCCCCTTATTAGGAATGTATGGGACAAAGAAAAATAAATTCATACAAAATCCAAGATTTCCAGATTTTAGTTAAAATATTTGGAAAAGGGGTTTGGAAAATCTGATTCACAGACATTACCATAGTATCTGAGATTTCAATATTTGAGATACTGAAGTTTATATGGTTTATGGCATTGTTTCTGAGAACTTTAAAAAATACCTGAATCCTGAAGATAGTATATGGTAGGAGATCAGTGAGAATGTAGGAGCCTGCTTTGGCTGAGTTAGTATTGAATCTTCTGTCATTGAGGTAGATATAGTATCCTGTGACCTCTCCATTAGGGGTCGCTGGTTCTGACCAGGTCACTCTAAGAAT